TTATATTAATATTACATTATTTATTCTGCATTTCAAAATAAGCTGTTTGACAAAAAACTGTCTGTTTTACATTTGCTTTTTCCCTCCAGTAGGTATTATTCTGATAATGCAGCTGAAGAAATGAAAGCCTTTCTGGGAATATTTGATGATGTTTTCTAAAAGAAAAATTCCTTTCTTAATAAGGCGAAGTATAAATATACCTAATCACAAAGTGTACTTTTTATTTTTTAATTTATAATTATTCAGCCTTTTTTCTTGTGAATTTGATCTGTTTCTTCACTTCCTTGCAACAAAGTATATAGACTGGTATATTTTCTCATTCTACTGAAACTTCTTGCAAAGTGGTTTTGTTTCAGTAAACTAGTTAAATTACACTTAGAAATAATTTAGTTACTAAACTGATTTTAATAGCAACTAATTTAAGACTTCATCTTTCTATTTTCTAAAGAAGGTATCTATGAAAGCAAAATATGCTTCCGGTGAATCTGTTGAATATATGACCTCCTCAATAACACACTTCTCATGCATCTTGTCCTAGTGCTTGTTCTTTGATTCTTAAGGATCCAGTGGCTTTTGAACCTGTTGTCTAGTTTTCAGCAGTAATAAATTAATATTAATCAGTATAGATTGTTGTTTTTACTTTATTTTTCAGTGGTCTAAAATTTGAAAGCTTGTTATGTTGACCTTTACTGTAGGATTTTTCCCATAAATTATATCTCAGATTTCTTTATTGAGAAGTAATAGCATAGCATAGGCACTGTAAGCAATGCTCATTTCTAATTTATTTAATGTATACATACCAGGTGAAGTTGAAACCACTTAAAAAATTTTAATACAATGTTTTGTCTTCAAGCATAAAAAAATGTAGAGATAAGAGAAGAGAAACTTCCAGATGAAATCATTCTTGTCATTACTAGTAAGCATTTATGAGGCATACACATTATACCTAGATCAAAAACTTGGAGTAAAACTAAGAGGTTTTGTCTCTTGTTTAAATATTAAAGACAGCCCCACCTTATTTTAGTTCTCTTTGTAATTGGAATGTCTCTGCATCTGAATCAATCATTCTGCAACCTTTAAAAGTTCTTAAGAACACCATTAACATGAAAAATTGATGCACTAAAATCTGTTTATCTTAGACTTTGACACTAAAGAAATAGCAATTTAATTCAACATGACTTATTGTGATCTGCTAAGTGAAAAGCACTGTAGTTGATACTGCAAAGGATAAGGATACTGTTTCTATTCTTATGGAGTTTACATTCTGGTAGAGAAGTTAAGAGATGTAATAAAGTACAGACATACTTAAGAGCTTTCACGTTTGGTTCCTGAAGTGAATATCACAATAAAGGAAGCTGTATTAATTTTTGGTTTCTCACTGAATATGAAAGTCCTGTTTGTACTATACTGTAGTCTCTTATGTATGCAATAGCATTAATATCTTTAAAAGCAATGCACATATTTAAATATTCTAAATTCATTATTCTCCAAATAGATACTTTCTCCCTTAGACCTTTGCTCAGGCTTTTGCCGTTGCCTAAAATGTCCATTTCACATACTTTTTCCTGTGAAATCTTATTCATTTTTAGGGGTCAACTCAAATTTTAACTTCTTCATATACTATTCATATTTTTTTTTATCATGAAGCACATTTGGGAAACACTGGTCTACTGAATAAAGCATGGGTTTCATCTCAAAGACTCCCATAATCTGGTGTTAAGTGACATATTCTATTGCATCCTTTAATTTCAGCAATTGGGGGTGCAGAGACAGGTGATCTCTGTGAGTTTGACACGTGCCTGGTGGTCTTCATAGCAAGTCCCAGGACAGCCAAGGCTACTTACAGCACACTGAGATTACCTAGAGGGCTTGTTTACCAACAGATTGCTGTGCTCCATACTCAGAGTTTCTGACTTAGTATGTCTGAGTCCTAGTATATCCTGAGTATTTGCTTTTTTTTTTTTTTTCTTTTTTTGGCCTTTTTGAGAGAGTCTTTCTGTAGCCCCAGCTGGCCTGAACTTCCTATGTAGTTGACCAGGCTGGCCTTGAACTCAGAGACTCACCTGCCTCTGCCTCCCAAGTGCTGGGATTAAAGGCCAGCACCAGCACGCCCAGCTAGTATTTGCATTTCTAACAAATTCCCTAGAGATACTATACTTTTGGATCAGGGACATACTTTGAGAATCACAAAATTTAAAGAACTATGGGAAAACATGAGAGAATATGGACCTGGCCATGGAGTCAAGGAAGCCCTCAGAGAAAAGTTAAAATTTGAGTTGACCCCTAAAACTGAATAAGATTTCATGGGGAAAAGTATGAGAAATGGACATTTTAGGCAGAGGCAACAGCCTGAGTAAAGGTCTAAGGAAGAAAGTATCTATTTGGGGAATAATGAATGATGTCTATTTTTAAATTTTTAATAACTACATGATTAGAAGAAGCATTTCATTACAGCTTTAACATACACAGTAACATACTCCAGAGCAAGAGTACATCTCTTTCACAACTGGCTGTAAGTTTCTAGGTTCACAGTTGAATAAATACAGTTATACAATACTGAACTCAGTATAACCCTGTAAGACATAAAATTGAATGAGTTTTTAACTTTAACTTTTAACTTTTAACTTTTTTTTCTTTAAAAACGATCTACATTTCATTTTAGAATACATTGTTCCTTGCAGAAAGACTCATTGTTTTTGCTACTAACACTGAGATGTGCATGCATCTCTAATCTGTATGCATATGATTATTACTAGTTATAATCAGTTGCACTTGGATCCTTGGCACCTGTGTATGTCTATAAAGTCAACT